ATCAAGTTTGCGTTAAACGCGAAAAGTAAACATTGCTGTCGTAAGCTAGCATTGTAGATCAGTGCTGGAGTGAAAGTATTTGAATTTGCCGCAAAGGGTTAATTCTTACTGTTCGGCTGGTTTAATTATTAGAAGGTAACAGAGCAAAGTCAAATGGAATTTTTTTTTTTTGACCGTCCTTTACTTGTCGTTGCAGATGAATGACACGTAATGCAGAAATCCACTCATGATCAGTAATGACAAGAAATTCATTAAACTTTTTCGATCTGTTAAAATTCGCAAAACTAACATGGTTCAGTGAACGCAAACAAAGGAAATAACCAAACAGACTTTTTCAGATCCCTTTGTGAAAAGGAGAAAAAATCAAGAAATCGAAAGAAACTTGTTGTCCTCGGCAATTATCGAAAAAAAAAAAAAGAAATATTTTGTTCACTCCTAGGAATGCATCCCGAATTTAAGACCCCCTGGATACGGAAAGTTATAATTGTAATTTAACACATGAAATTAAGAATTTGAATTTTAGATGATGCGTATCAAATTTGTTATAAAATGGAATGAAACGTATCTTAAGACGGTGCAAAAGAAAATTTACCGAGGTTAAAACTGAGGCCAGGAAAAGACATGATAACCCACACGTCACCACCTCGCCTCATTCCTTCCCAGTAAAAACTTACCAAGTGGAAACAATTGGGGTTAAAAGTTTAAAGTTAGGAAATCTGTAGTCTGTCGAGCAGGGGTTTTTACTGATTCAGCTTATTATACATTTAATTATCATGCGATCGAGCACAAAGCGCGCGCGAGTCCACCAGCCACGCGAGAAGCCGACTGCAAGTAAAAGTTACTCGCGCTCCGCGTAAATCTGAAAAAAGAAAACGTTACATGCTGAATGAAACACAAACTTAAAACTTAATCCAAGGTGAAAACTACATTTGGTGACGTAGCTGCATTTTGCATGTTGATGAATGAGCTTTATAACTGATCATCATCTTTTGTACCTTTTTCAACAGGAAAAAATCGTCTAAATTTCCCNGGGGGGTCGTATGATTTTGGTTTTGTCACAATAACATTTACTGTTTGCACTAGAGGGCCCTGTAGTAACCTAAACAACACCCCCCTCGTTAGCAGTCCATTTTCTTTATCGCCCGCTTTAAACTCTTTTAGAGACGACTGATTCCACCCCCCTCCCCCTCAGACAAAAAATAATGACTAGTTGGTTTTTTTAAGGGGTAATAAGACTAGAAGAAATTAGAATAATATGAATGTAATGATATCGAGCTACAAATAAGCTAGTCTGCTGCAAGTCTTCAATTCAGATTTGGTTAAAGTAGGTTTATATAATTTTCATAATTTTCACATTGTGACTCTCAGTGGAAGAGACTAATAAAATGGTGTTGTCGCTTTTATAGCATGAACGTTATCATTTCAATACAAAAGAACGCAGAAGCACATCGAGGAGAATACCTCCTCAGCATGAAAGTCTTTGAAATCTAAAGAAACAATATAGCGCGCTCACCAAAGATATAAGGGATCGGTCATTATTTACCGCCTGTGGGGGAGGAGGGGCGGGGATCGGAGAAATTTGGTTGTGTTACGATACATTTTTCCTGATCTCCCCCCTCCCCCCCAGCCCCGAAGGCTATGAACTATTCTTGTGATCCCTTCCTTTCATTGGCAGTTAAATGGCAATCAATTTTCCAGTATAGTTCCCCCTTTATATTTAACTCTGTTAGAGATGCCTGATCCCCCTCTCCGTTCCCCCTGAAAACCGTGCTATTCCCAAAAAATCCTTTAACCCCTCCCCCCTGGTAATAAATGACAAATCTAATAAGTAATAATAACAAGTCTTAATTTGTATTAGGATTCATATAACATGTGTTACGATACAATTCTAAAATGTGTCCCCAAAATAGCTAGCTGGTTCTTAAATTACAGTTGTACGACTTAGGAAGAAAGCCAACTTTGAGTAAATTTTGGCTCGAACTATCGCGATTTATTACAAATTGCAAGATCGAAAATTAAAATGCATCTTATTCTGTTGTCATCTGCACTACAACCATCTAATGGAAACTCGTTGCCGGTCATGTCAAGCCCACCTCTCCAAATTCCAAAATAACAGATCGCTCAAAGTCTTCGCGCCCCTTGCATAACTGGTCAGAGGTCGATCAAAACCTGATCATGATCATAGTGTCATAGAACAATTTTAAGTACTCTCGAACTAAGTGACTAGAGCGCTAGCAGCAGATCAGAGAATTAAAAAGGAGAAAGACAAAACATTAATGCTATATGTGTCCCACTACAATTTCAACAAAAGTTGAAATAAATTTAAAGGTGTATGTACGCTCAAACTCAGTGAAATGTTTTGTGAGCATAATCGACTTGAATTACATCAAAGGTCATGATTCTTGGTGATTCATATATTAGATAATGTGTTGAACTTATCTGGATAGCTTGCTAACGATAATACACTTGATAAGATTGAATGCCATCCTCGCATCCTATTGTCCACACAGTCCATTCGCTAACTCTAGATCAGTGACACTGTCCAAACAAAATACATCTGCAATACGGAAAGAGAGCGATAACAAAAGTATATGACAAGAACAAGTTTAATCTATTTCAATGCAACGGAAAATTTAAATAAAACCTACCTTCGTCGATCTCCATGCCAGCTTTTGCTGGGTAAGGCCAATCTCCTCGATAAACTTGAACCTGCGCTCTCGTTCAAACTATTACTAGGTAATTTGAGCCAGAAATAACCTCGTAAAATTACGTCATTTAGTGTTCAAGAAATGGAAACCGTCCACCTTCAACATTACCAAAAGAGTAAGAAAAACCGAGGTGTATACACCTTAATCATATGCAAGTCAGAGTTAGAAAAAAAGCAACCAAAAAAATTGCACAATCTGCACGGTCTGCACGGTCTGCACGGTCTGCGCGGTCTGCACGGTCTGCACGGTCTGCTCGGTCTGCACGGTCTGCACGGTCTGCACGGTCTGCACGGTCTGCTCGGTCTGCGCGGTCTGCACGGTCTGCAAGGTCTGCACGGTCTGCAAGGTGTTCTGCAGTCCGGTCATGTTAAAACGCAGACTACAGACCGTGCATACTGTGCAGACCATGCAGACGGGGTAATTTTTTGTTACCCTCCGATACGGTACACCTATGGTTGTATATATTTATTTCCTTATCATTAATTTTTGATGAAAAGTCTTATTTAGAGGAGCTTCCACGAAATTAATTATAAATCAAGTGATTCATCTTTATGGCAATGTCCTATCAGAAAAATGGCGTGCAAGTGTATGGGCACGATTTTATTTCCGAGTAAATTCTTTTTTACCTTGCAGCACTTTATTTACTGTAAAGTTCTTTGGGTTGTGTTGTGGAGATCCTGGTTATTATTTGCTTCGTTCACGCAGCCCATGGCCATTTCCTACCGCTGAATCAAAGTCACTGGTTTCTATCTTCAATACAGAAATAAAGAGTTAACAAAAGTATGTGACAAAACCAAAATTCATCTGAACACAAGGGCAAATTCAAAATAATACAACCTTCCCTCGTCGACCTCCATCACAGCACGTACTCGGTAACTTTGAGCCTGGGATTTCGTCCAAATTGTTGCTAGGTAGCCTCAGCTCGAAATAACCTCGTAACTGACTACGTCATACATGTGGTGTCCAAAAACTGGACATTGTTCCAACATTACCAAAATAGATAGTAAGGAAAAGGTGAAAATCAGAGTTAAAACAAAGTAAAAAAAAAAAATGAAAATATACAAAAAAAAATTAGTCTGCATAGTCTGCACGGTCTGTATGGTCTGCAGTCTGCGTTTAACATGACCGCTGCAGTCTGCAGTCTGCACTTTTTAACATGACCGGTTTTATCATGACCGCCCAATGTAACTCAGGGGAGGATTGTTTCGATCACCCGAGACCATATGAATGGGGCCGTAAAGGCGAAGATAATTAGCTGTTCAGAGACACTTCCACGATCGACGCTTCATAATATCATAATTTCTTACATTGCTCGCAGCGCCCGTGGGCAGGATGAAGCGAATCCCAAGATGGGACCATCTTGCCCGCTAGAGATTGCCCGTATTGATCCCGCGCATAAAAAAATTGAATTAGAACTGATCCCTGGAGAAAATATCCTCCTCCACGTGTACTTCGTCCGCCATTTTGAACAGGGTGAAATGTGATTACCCAAAAAGTAAATTGGGCAAAATATCCCGTTTTTGCGTTTTCTCGCATCGTCCCTCTAGAGCAGCATTGGCAACGACCGTTATAAAAGGCATCGACCGTTAGTTAGAATGGCATCGACCGTCAAAAATGGCATCGACCGTTTACCGGAAATTTGAGTCGGCGATGGTGACGCAAAAAGCGGCAGAAGATAGTAAAAACAAAGAAAACAGAAAGGACTCTCGTGAGTTTGTTGTGCTACAAACACGGTTGGCTTTCTTTCCCAGCTTTCGAACGAAACAAGTCATTCTTAATCTTTGATATAGCAAAATCTTTTTGCAATAGAAGAGGGTCCCCAATAGGGTTCTTCAATCCCGCCATCCCGACCGGAATTTTCCCTCAATCCCGCGATCCCGACGGTTTCTACCGGCTAATCCCGATCCCGGACATATTTTCTTAATTCCTTACCTCAGCAAAAATGATCCTTGAAGTTCCGTTTCAGATTCCCTCACAGCAGACTCAAGCACTGACTATTACGTTGAATTAGCTGTATTTCTCTGCACGAAAACGATGATCTAGTTCACTTGTTTTTCATGACTGGTTTTAAACGAGTTTCGTCAGTCAATGAGTCCTTTTTATGGTTTTTATAACTTGGTTTTTTTGGGTTTTTTTTTCTTTTTTTCTGTTTTGCCTCTTTTGTTCGATAACGCCTGCCTTCCGGATCACTTCGATCCCTGGAAAAAGTGTCTCTCGGAGATGATAGCGATCAATGAAGAGCATTAAGGGCACATATCACGACGTACCACGGCAAATTCACTGTTCACTACACCTATGGCAAGTCACCGTCAATCGCAACTCAGAAGACAGTTTGCTCATTCACAATTATCAGCCATGGCAACGATCATCTGGAAATTCTATAGAATCGAGTACAATTGGGCTCAACAGATACTGAAAGATATATTCTTTTCGACCCTAGTTTAGCCAGTGCTACATGTTCCGGCTCAAAATGCCGTAATCACCGGTAATTGGTAACCAAAGCGGTCTATGTTACCTTTGCGGCTAATTTTAATAAAAAACGTGCTTTAAGCACGTTAAAGAACTGTTTTACCCTGATTGGGAATACAGCGACGCATACCAGGACTACAACATACGTAACAAGCGACTTCAAAATCTAAAAGCACGTGGGAATAAGTCACGTGATATTACGTAACGAAACAAACGGAAATGAAAATAATGAAACAGAATTAAAGAGGTAGCCACAGTCTATAGGAGGTTGAAATAAGAGCCTGTATGGATTTCAATTTCGAACGAAAACTATTTCTGTTTTCCTTTGAAAAGCTACGAAAAAGTTCGAAACTCTCTGAGTGGTTTTCTTTTTTATGTCGCCGAAACCCTTCTATAAATCATTTGAGCGATTCTGACGCGTATAAAGAGTACGCGTCACTGTATTGTATCTTTCAAAGGAAAAACAGAGATAGTTTGAATTTTAAATCCATACCTGAAACTCTTATAATGCGCTTTTGTCACCTGCGGCTAAATATTGCTACGCAGCTAATAACATCGACAACATCATTGTCGATGTTAACCGACATCGCTAGGGTGCGTTAAACTACGCAAACGATAACTTCGCGTCGAATATCCCACGCGCACCGATCAGGATCTGTATAAACCTGACACTAAGAAATATCACGGTCAAAAAATGAAAAAGATCACAAAGACATTGTCTTCATTACGGCCAAGGTTCACGAAGATAGACCACAGATCCCCATAGGGGTCACAGAGCAGCGTGATAGGGTCGTGGAAAACGTGGATGTCAACTAGGTCACTGTTCGGCTATTTCCGACCATTTCCGACGTCAATAAGATGAGCTAGCTAAGATGACAGCTTGATTTTCTTTGCATATTTCAGACTCTATTAAAATTCCCGAATCACGGTTTCTTTAAAACAACATTTCCCGATTCTCGCCTGTTAAAATCGCCAAATCCCGTGTCCCGGTCCTAAATACAATCCCGAATCTCGTTCCCCTTTTCCTTCAAAATCTCGAATCCCGGCCTTCAAATAAGCCAGATCCCGGATCCCGGATCCCGAAAAACCTATTGGGGACCCTCATACAATAAATCCTTTGAGATACAATGAAATATATGAAGTTCATATATTTTGTACTGCGGTATTAGATACATATGATGCACGATCCTCGCAGTAGATAGCGCTATTTCGCTATTGCTTAAATATAGCGCTATCTACTGCGATGATCGTGCATCATATGTAATAAATCCTTTATTAACCAAGCTTGTTCAATTAAGACGGCTAGATATTAGCCTCGTTCTTTTTTCGCATTTTTATGGCACTCGACTTAGTCTCGGTCCATAAAAATGCGAAAAAAGAACTCGGCTAATATCCAGCCATCTTGACCGAACAGGCTTGGTTAATATCACATTTAAAATGATCAGCTCAAGTCAGCAAACTGTACAAAACTCCGAACAAATGGACTCCACTGTACCGCTATTCGTTAAGACATGATCTTAGTATCAGTTCTTTAAAACCCCATGCAAAGGATCAAATCTCATTCAAATGGAGAATTAAAACCATGCAAAAACACCCGACATTTTGTTTTAATCGGACTCACTAGCTATTCGATGACTGTGAGAGTCATCGAAGAGCTCGGCAGCCTCAAGTTGATGACCACTGACCAGTTAATATCATGTCACCAAAACATTTCTGAGGGACTGTCTTTCTGTGGTGGACCCCGCGGTATCCATTTGAACAGACACGTAACGGGAGATTATGTCTAAAATGGCGAAATTTGGAAGTAAAGGTTTGGTACTTCTTTTTATCGTACTAAAAATAGTAATTTCTGCATCGGGAGAGTCCTGCGAGAAGGTCGATATATGTACATGCAAGTTCAAAAATGGGTCAACAGTCAGTTTGAGAAAGGCGGATGGCACTAGTTCTAAACCGAGGTAGGTGATTACTCTTAATTTTCAGAAGTTAAGCGGCACTGCCGGTGCTGGTCAGAGCACAGGTCCCTTGTACTTGATCCCTGGCTATTTTTAGTGCCCATTTATGCTTCTTTTCTGAGAGAAGTGCTGTAAGATGCGAATGTCTCTCCTAGAATTCATCACACTAGTTTATTCAGAACCGAGAGTTGTACCTCTTATTGCAAAGACCGGCTCGACAATCATGCTCTACGCTTTGTGCAGTATCTCCCTCGTAAAAAAAACGGAGCATTCTTTAAAAACAATATTAAAGGTGGTTTTGTTCCTTGTTACAAACAAAATTGGCTCTATTGTAAAACTTCAATAGCTCTTATTCCGGTTCTGCATGCGTGGTTTAGTTGCGGTTTCCAACAGTAGCGTACGCGAGAGCGAGGCTATTGGGTCAAGCTTCACTGAAGATTACAAGACCAGCGAAGCATGGGCATCGAAAATGCTATAAATTATTTCCAAAATCAGCGTTTTTATCAGCCGAAGAGAAAGATAAATTATTAGGCGATAATTTTTAACTGATTTTTCTAAAGAAAGGCCGAAGGAATGGCTTTAGTATCGGAAAGGACCTGCTAAAGATGGATGTGCTTGGTCGACAGCTTCGAAACCCGCACTAGCTCAAAGGTGAGTTCATAATATTTTTTTGAATTTTGGAATTTTTACCCTGAAGATAAATCATTTCAAAATCTGATGTCTGTTTACCTTTTCTTTTAAACAGGATTATAAGCTACATCAATGAGCTGACGATTTTCGTGAAAAGTGGCAGCACTTGGCATGTAAACAATTGAACAGAGCGAACAAAACAACTGCTACCGCCGCAGCTGTTAAAAGCACTGATCTTCTTGATCGTCCAGAATGGTCATCACTGGTACATGGAGAAGACAACCTCCCTGTTTGTAGTAGGCAAAACGTTGTCTGCTATTTCATCAAAAGGAAAGCTCAAGATGACAAAACAAATGAAGATTTGAACGTAAATAATGAAGCATTTGCCTTATTTCGACATGGTCATGTGTAAAAAATCGAACTAGCATCTGACACTGATAGAACACACTTTCATTGTGAATGTCTGCCTGATAGCTTCTGGTTTTAGTCGCATGCGCTGTTCTCCTTGAGACTTCAAAAAGCATTCAGGCTCAAAATGCTTGCTGCATAAAAATTATTTTTTGCTCAAAGGAGTGTGTTCTCTCTTCAGATTTTTACCAACCACATCTGCAGATGATCTTTGGTTGATAGCAGAAACTTCAGCTCATACAACCAAAGGCTATACAGTGTCTAATCATGATGTTTTACCTAGAGTCTTTCACAACGTCTTAACTTTTTATAGACTTCTTCTAGTAGTCTTCAGAGTTGCTTCACCGGAGAGCCTCTCTTTCACATATGCTAATATGGGAAAGTGCGGTCCAACTAAACTATGCACGCAGATCTGGAATAAGAGCTATTTGATCGGTGGGAAGTATGCATGTCCCTGGATCTTGCACACGTTTGATGCACGAGAAGTTTATAGATTGACAATGATGCAATGTTGTCAATATCCGTACAACAGTTTAACGAACCAAAATATTGCTTTCATTCACATGTTACTAAACAATTTTTCAGAATTTTTGTACAGTAAAAAGTTTTCTTTACAATTGTTAAACCTTTCACCCTCAAAGAGTGTTTGGTCTCTTATTTCTCCATACATACTCACCCTTGAATCAAAGGTCATGGTGAAGAGAATAAAAGAAATGATCAACAATTAAAGAAGTTCCTGTTTTTTTTGCACTTAAGGCGTGTATACTTATGGAGAACAGTGTAGGGAATATGCATACTGATGTTAGGGTGTAAAGAGAAAGTTTTGATGATTGTTAAGTGTTGCAACATTTTCATGTTGCGAGCATTGTTGGATAATTATTTTAACAACAAAGAAATATTAAAACTTCCTTTGACCCTTGAAGTCCCAAAATCTCTCCCCTTGAGCTGCTAAAGTTTCCTTGTGAATAGTATTCTTAGGAACCTGTTTGGTGGGTAATGTATGGGTAATATTGGGAGAAGATACTCAATGAGTGAAAGAGGTTACTTGGTGACTTTGATTGTATGCTTGGAGTCCTTCAGTTAAATTAACCTTTTTTCGGTTTGAATTTGAAATAGCTTCACACGGATAGAGGGCAGCGATGGCCGTACTTTTGACTGGAACACATGCACACCATTTGATGACTCATCTGTTTCTTCAAGCTGTGATCAAGTAATGGTAAGTAAGTTTGTGTATGATGATTAAATATAAAGACCCTGAAATTGTCAATACTTGCATAAAAGCATAGTTTTTATAAGGTGAAATGGCCACCATAGAGAGATTCAAAAGCTGACATTTCAAGCATAAGCCCTTCATCTGAGTGATTCACTCTGACGAGGGACAAAGCTTGAAACTTGAGCTCTAGAATCTTTCTATGGTTACCAATCCACATTAAATATCAACTCATTTAAATTAAACGGAAATAAAATTTTGCAAAAGCCCCTGCTGACACAGCACCGCTTTTCCTTAGAAACTTGTTGCCTTAATTCATGATTTTTATTGTTAGTCTGGTGTTCTAAGAGATCTTTATCTTGTGTAAGCTCAGAAGTGCTTAGTAGACAATGAACTTGGATAGGGAGTCCAAATATTGAAATGTTAGCCTCAGAGAAAAATACAAATGGGCAGAGTGTTGAAGATTTTTTTTTATATTATTTTTATTATTGTTTCTTTTTTTTTTTTTTTTCTGGAAGTGTGCATCTATTCCTACAGTTTAAACAATCATCAGTTGTGTAAATAGTTTATAAAAGCTCTAGAATGAGCATTTAAGCACTGGCTAACATGAAGAACATCTTCAAGACTTAAACATAAGTCTAGTTGCCAATTGCTAATTTTTAGTACCATAGGAGACCAGTTGGTCCAAAATTCAGGCCCTGAGTTGTATATTCTTCGTTAATACTTGGGTCATACTGACCATTACATGTACTTCAGGAGCACTTTGGACAAGTGGGCCTAGCCAGGATGAGGTTAACATGAAATAGATATACTCTGTAAAAAAATTCCTGTTGCTACAATTGGTGGAAAAACTCAAACCTGTTTGAATTTTTGTGATTGATGGCAGTGTGTGATAGCAACTTTTCTTGCAAGCATTATGCAACTAATAAGATTTTTCTCCTGAAGTGTTCCATAGTCAGATTTGGGCATTGCACTCATTAGTTATACTTATTAAAATAATATTTTTTAAATAATTTTGTACCCAGGTTTGTCAAGTAATTGAGGGTGGCGGTAACCCTGCTGGAAGCAAAGATACCAGTTTTATTGTGGATGGTTCTGGCAATGTTGTTATTTCATATGGAGTTATGGAGAGCGGTGGTCATGGGAGGCAAGTTAGCAATTTCAGAATTAGTCTATATCATTATGTAATTGATTGTAAGGGACTAACAACAAATGTTGATGTGCTATGTATAAGCAATAACCCTTATTTGACATGAAAATACACAGTCACAGATTTTTGTCCATGCACATTGACTGTTCTGGGATGCAAACAGTTTTCTGTGTTTATTATTCTTCAAAAACTTTTGCAATGCACAGGAAAACTGTGAGAAATACTTACTTTTCAATGTTCTTTGGTATGACTTTATGAACAAACAAAATATATTTGATGGATTGTAAACATATCTATTGTATGGCTAGATGATTTATCCCTTATAACACAGTAATTAGTGGTCATGATCCTTTTAGGGAGTTATTAGAAATTGGTTAGACCTTTCTATCTAAGGATCTGGGTGCAATTACTCTCCATACTATTCTTGATACATTTCCTTAGGAGAATTTGTAAGGAGAATTTGGTTAACAATCAAGAGCTTTATATTTAGTTGGTGATCATTTCCTTTATTCCTATGATCACCTTAATGTTTAATTCAGGAGTGCTATTTAAAGGAGAAAATAGGTGCTTGTCACTCAAGAAGGTCAAAGAAATAGAAAAAAAAAATCTTGACAATGCATGAACTCTAGGAAGCAAGGAGCAAGGGCCACACAAGAAGACGATAAGGCAGGAAGACAGGGAGTTTGATCTCTGTTTTAAGCTCACCACAAGAGAATATGGTTGCTTGTTGGCAGTATGTCCATCAACAAGCAAGCAACAGTCCTACGCTGGTACCAGAGTCAATGTGACATTGGAGTCTGTTTTTCCTGAATTCTATTGAATTGACTGTGGGACAAAAAAAAGTTGAGAAAGAAGGAGAGCTGGTGGTCTAAATTTTCCTAGGCACTGGTGGATAATTGAAGATGAACTGAAGGAAAAAACATAATCAGGCTTAACATGCAATTAACAATTATTATTGGACAAGGTTGAACATGATAGCGATGAATATCAAGGCCAAAGTTTGTGTTATCTCCTGAAACCGAAAGCTGAGGCGGACAACACAAACTGAGGCCTCGATAATTATCACTATCATGTTACACCTCATCCTAATAATTGTTTTATCATGCCTATTCCTAAGCTGCACTTGTAAAGACAAGAGCACATCAAACTGTCTTCTGTAGGTATGACATCACTTCTACTTCAGTCTATAAAATCCAGTGTCTGTTAGTATGACGTAAGAGAATGTATAATAACAAGCATTATTGGTGCAAGCCAGTACAGTCTGTCATCAGCAGTGAAATAACTGCAGTGAGTTTTTTTTTCCCCAGTTTGTTTGTCTGTTTGTTTTTTTTTCCAGATCTGATTTTTCTTGTCTCTTTTAATGCAGTCAACCCTTTTGCTCCCAAGATCTGATTAGCAATTCTCCTTACTGCCTGCCATACAATTCTTACGATGTTAGTTTGGAGAATTTGGTATTGGATCCACCAATAATCTCCTTGCTGATCTTTCTTTATTCTCATCACTTGTCTGCTTGATATTCTACTGATATAATAAGAAGATATTCTGTCTTGGTGTGTTCAAACTTTCGAGAACTACGAAATTTTCTAAGTCTATACCTGTAAGGGTTCTGGGAGCTACAAGCATTTGGAACAGCTGGTGCGTTTTTCATAGTAGAGGGGGAAAACTGCGGTTGCTGTCTTATTTTGACAAACCTGAATAAAGATCGTTATCATTATTTGGTTAAAATTGATATAAATACAGTAATCAGTCTAATTGTTTTGCTATAATTATGTGTCCTTATGCAGATCGTCTAAAATAACCTTGGTGTGTGATCGAAATGCAAAAGGGATTGGAACAGTATCAAAATTTTCACAATCTGCAAGCTCAGGAAGCACAATATATGTAATTATCTACCTTGATTGTTTGTCTGCTATTTTGGCTGATTGTTTGTTTGTTTGTATCATGCTAGAAGTGGCTGGCAGTATGAATGCAAAATTGAAGAAACAAGTACTACACTCTTTTTTTCCGTTAGAAACGTTTTTACAAGAACGTTTAGGCTGAAAGTAACCAACATACTAAGAACATAATAATATTTATACAGCGCCAAATCCCATTAATTGTCCATAGCGTTTTACATTAAAGATTACTAAAAACTGAGCTAAAAGAAAGGGGGTAAAGGGAATAAAATATAGGAATAAACTAAGTTAAAATTTAAAGTAATCAAACATACTTATCATCTAAAAATTAAAAGATTAAAAAGTTTGTTTGAAGAGATACGTTTTTAGATGTCCTTTAGAACTGTTTATTGGCAAACTAGATCTTAAACTGAGAAATATGACCTAAGAGTCAGTTAAGAACGTCTTTATTTTGCTCATTTGGTTTATTTTTTTTGTTCTGTTTTGTTTTGTTTTGTTTTGTTTTTTTGTGATAAGTATAAAGGTAAAAGGGATATAAAACTGCGGTCTAACAGGACAACTGACTCAAATACTTATGGAACTTTTTTAACATTGATTTATTTGGATAACATTACATACCCTTAGAGAACATGCTAAGAACGTTTTCAGGCTCAAATCGCAAAAAAAAAAAAAAAAAAAAAGATGAAAAGAATAAGACCGTTCAGCTTCAAAATTGACGTCTATTAAAAAAAGAGTGTAATTGTTTTCATTCTAACTATTAACTATTAACTAAGGCACTTAGGAGTTTCAATAACTTTTCCCATAAGTGGTTGCCGATGGTGAAATAGGAGGCTGTGTTCGGAAAAGGGACCGTCACACCCTTTTCCCGGGGAAAGAGAGGTAAAGAGACGAATGGTGACTATTAAAAGACCCCTTTTAGGTACTGTAATATTTTCCACTCAAAGGAAATGTACCGTTAAACTAATAGAGAATGGTTTTTCGTCACGTCCAATTTTTGGATAAGCGCCACCCTCAAATAAACGCCGCACTTAAGGCGCGAACAATAAGACGCGCTGCGGCGCTCGTTGGAATAAATATGGTTTTCTCAGTCGATCAGAAATTGAAGCGCCAGGTCCTGACAAGGGGGACCTCGAGTTGCGAAGAGCGGATAACCAATTATGTCACTAGTCTGCAAGCTCATGTATTTTGTAATCAACTTAAAATTAGGAATAAATGCGTCGATGAAATAACTAACCTTTGCCTCCTTTTTTTGGTCATAGAGTGGAACGTTAAATTCAAAGTATGCATGCGCCGAAGGAGGATCTACATCAGGAGGTCTCAGTGTCGGCAGCGTACTTCTTATTATGTGAGATTACTCTAGAAACCTAGTAACATGTTCGTGCTAGAACTAACAACTGTGTTCTCTTCTTTGTTTGTTTTTATCAAAAATGACTGAGACAGGGCTCGACAATAATGAATAACGATAGCCAACTAGCCACAGAATAGTAGAAATTCAGTTTTGGCTGGTGGTTTTCGATTTCCACATGCCAGTTTGGCTAGTAAACAAACCGAAATTTTTGTAACATCTACGTTGTCACTAGCCAACTTGGCTAGTAAGTTAAAAGTTAGTGTTGAGCCCAGCTGAGATCCTACGACCGCCTGATTGGTCAAAAACCTAAAGTATCGTTCGTTGCACCGGTAAACCCACATTGACAGAAAGTTGAAACATTTTAAGTTTATTTTATAAAAGCAATAGACCACATTTTCTATCGGTTCACTGACGTAATAATCCTCTTGGGATGTAAAATGAGTGAATCTATCGCTGAAAAGGTGAATCTGAGTCAGTTGCCCTTAACAATGAATGTCTCAACTGACTGAGTCGTGAAGATGAGGGTGCTGTTCGCAGTACTGGACACTACTTAAGTAGTACATATAGTGAAATAAAGCCTGAATAAAGTCAGGCTTGTACAGGATTTCAACCCATGACCTCTGCGATACCCGGTGCAGTGCTCAACCAACTGAGCTAACAAGCCAACTGGTAGCTGGTCATTTTTGTTGGTTCGTTATAAGCCCGAGTAGTGATGAATGATGAGTGAACTTCGCAGTAATGAATCATGTAGATTCTTGAAGTTCTTAATACTTCTAAGTACCTGTTTCTGTTTGTTCGTTTGTTGTTTGTAGATTTGGTATGTGTATTCCTTACGTTCCCAGATACTGTGAAAGTTACGGTTTGGTCTGTTTCTCTTTCAGCTTTTTTCCACTGGTCCTCGCATACATTATTATTGGAGTGTTGATAAACCGATATGGCCGTGGTATAGAAAGCATTCCAGAGTTATTACCAAATCATTCTTTCTGGGCCGACTTTCCTTTCCTTGTAAAGGTAAAGAAACGTAACTTAAAACATTGGTAAACCTGCGGCGTGGTCCAGTGGTTTTACTATCCCAGTTTACCTGACTTCTCAATGACCACTTTCCGTCTTTCTCTCCGCAGGACGGAATTGTGTTCAATGGTGTTGCGATCAAATCTGGATGTTCCTCTTTGAGTAACAAATTGAAGAAAGATGGCTATGCTGAGATTTAAGCTAATAAATTCATTTTTATGGAATACAGTTTAAAATAATCGAAGGTTAGGAACATTTTAAGTTTGCTCATTGTGATGCCTAAGGTTTAGACCTGGTTATAGATGATTTTTAAAAAAAAAAAAAGCAGTCAAGCAAAACGTGTGATTTTTAGAGTGATTTCATGGCAACGAATAATCGCGTGTTTACAGATCCAGCGTTTTGCTACTGTGTTTGAGATTTTCCCGCCACTTTGTAAAATGCAGTCAATGATGGCAACAGTTTTATGCGCAAAGCACGCGTAAAACGGTCCAGAATTTTGCGAAATGTTGCATTTTCCGTGGGCAATTGTTCATCGAAGGAAAAAACTGTAAACATTTCTAGGTTTGCACTGCATTTCCTTCTTTGACATGAGTACCGAAGGATCATCAAGTGAAATTTCAGTTTCCTTCTCCAGCTCTTTTTACACAATTTTTTCGTTACCTGTCGTTCGTTTAGCCTTTTGAAATTTGGGAAGCTTGTTTTATGGACTCTTAAATTATTCCTTAACTGTTAACTTTTGTTGCTTTTGTTGTCTGTGGAACCTTGCGACTTGCAGACCAAGTTTCCAACAAAATTCGCAGCGAGATCGAAGTAAAATTAGAGCGTTCTCAACAACTGCAATATCTCAGCGGCGCATAAAAATCGCCTTAAAATCGTTGGATATTCACTCGCGTGATTTTGCGTCGCCATGGTGTCACTGTAGAGTTCTAAGAAAAAAAGCTCCCTTATAGGGGGGAGGGGGACTCAAAAGAAAAAAAAAACTACCCCCCTCCCTCCACTTTGTAACTCGCCTCTGTCTTTTTCGCACTTTGTTTTGAATTGAAAAAAAAAAAATTTAAAATAGAGAAATGGAAGTAGTTGAGGGGCGCTTATATTTAACCGAAACCAGTTGGCCACTCGCGGCTAGACCTGACAATTATAAAGAAGATTTGGCCGATATCGAGTTTTCCAGGATATGAAGAATTCATCAGAAAAGCCGATAGAATTTTAGACAATGAATAGATAACTTTTCTTAATTGGAATTTTGAACTTTTGTATTGGAGTCTTTCTACTACACTCGTAGAAACTGGAGATGTACAAATTTCGGTTTTCAAAAGAATTATTTCTAAGTAAATAGAATATTCAATATCTAACAACATTGTTTTTATTCGCAGTTCACCTCAACCTGGGTGCGAGTTAATGATAACAGTAATAATGCTGTAAGGGATAAGGCGTCAGTCAAGCTTGATCCGCTGAACAGTATATACAGCGTTGGCAGTCGCATGCGCCTAAGTCGAAAAAGGTTTATACACGAACTGATTTATTTCATATTCAAGGATGTTTCGTATTCGAGGATATTTCTATATGGTCGACAGCGTATGATTTTTGACTTAAAGTTCTGTTAAAGCAATTCAAGGGCGAGCGTAACAGAACACAAACAAGTCGCATTTAAGGTTACTTCCCACCTTCAGAGGCGGAAAAAATCGTTTTTTCTTTTGTTAGACCAGATTGAAGTTCGATATTTTACCTTAAGTTTACAAAAAGAAAAAATTCAAAATCTCTAAAAGCGTCCTACTTATTTAGGAAAACGTATTTTTAAATAAAAGTTAATGAATCAGGAGGGTGTCATAATCTCGAAAATGGGTGAACCCCCTGGGGGATACTCGCGGCAATTTCATGTTATTTGCATATTTTGTTTACATCGCGCATTTGACAAAACTGACACGTGAGAGTTCTCTGCTGGTGCAAAGTCTTTTCTCTTTGATAAAAAATAGAAATCAAAATTAGATAGGAGTCCCTGGGCAAAGAAAAAGAAGAAAACAAGCCCAAAGAAGCACCATTTTGTCTGAAAAAAAAAAAAAAACAGTCCAAGCACCCCCTCTTCACGCTGGCATCCAAATGACGAAGAAAGAAGTCACCATCAAATCTACATTCGTCGTACATTAGGTTAAATACGACGTTTCCTTTCACTAAGCAAGTACCGGCTTGATACAAAACATAGGCAATCGTCTCGAATCGTATGAAATCATGAATAAACCTACCCGAAGGAACTCATTTCAGCGGTAAGGGTATTACTCAAGCTGTCTGTCGATTCGCTATATTGCTTTTCAGCAGTTTCCCCAGCTTTATATTTTTTGCCGCGGGTTTTTTCTTTGCCAGTTTTGCCCACTACTCGACGTTCAACAGAGCGAGATAAAAAGCGAGATAAAAAAAAAACCAAACTGTTATGCGGTACTTTTCGCGGGAAAATCTTGATGTATTGTCTGACGTCAGGAGGTCCCGTATTTCCATTGGTTCGCGGTTTCGGGAGGCGAGATAATCTCTTGGTGTGGCGCTAGTCATAGTGTTAACACACCTTTAGGAGCTAAAATCTCGCATTTGATTTTGAGAGGAATACATCCACTTTGAGCGAATTTGTAGGGTATGTAGATTTAAACGATTTTTGTGAAAATTGGCCAAAACATTCCAGGGATAAGAACGAACGAAAGCGTGTCAGGAAATTTTGATATTTGAAATATTTTTTACGTTGTCCATTTACGCAATACGTTTCGCATATATTAAGCTACTCTAACTTTAGATGAGGTGGCCCTGTTTACAAGCAGGTAGGGTAACCCTAGTGCTAGGGTTACTCTGGTAGGAGCGTTACCCTAACGCTCCCACATTTCTTTTTTTTCATCGACGTGTTTACAAGGCAGCTAGGGTTATCTTAGCACTAG